GTTAAATGCTTGATGCAAAATAGATAATATACCAATATTGGTTGAATGAATTAAATAAAAGAATTAATAAATAAGCACCTTAACTATGACCTCCAATTTCTATGGCTATGAGTGTAAGCATTGATCACATTAAAATTTAAAATAGTTTATTTTTTCTCTTTTAAGTTTTTACCTTATTTGAAAGTGAGGTAGGGATATAGATAGATAAGTAGATGATAGATAGATAGCGAGATAGATAGATAGATTTTTTTCATTCATTATTCACTCTCCAAAAGCCCATAACAGCCAGGTCTGGACCATGTCAAAGCCACGAGCTAGGAAGACAATCTGGGTCACCCATGTGGGAAGCAGGGATCCAAGTACTTGAATCATCGTATGCTGCCTACAAGGATGTATTTTAGCAGGAAGATAGACAGGAAATGAAGAAATTCGGATTACAGCCAGACACTCTGATGTGGAGTGTAGGCATCCAAAGCCATGCCTTGAGCATGAAAAACACTACCAACCCCTACCCCTTTCATTTTGTGGAAAAGTGATTATTCTAAGCACCAAAAGGAACAAAGACAAGGGAAGAAACCATGTTTGGAGGGCATTAGATTGTCTGTCAAGGTCCTTGTTTTATGTAATAGTTTGTGCATAATGGAGTGAATACAAGTAAGATGTTTTTTGTTATTATTTAAAACTATTCAATTTAAATTAAATTACTCATATCATTTTATCATTGTTATTCATTGTGATGATTTTTTAAACTTTCCAACATTCTTTTCATCACAATTTACTTATTCAATAATGTTAAAATTAAGTGGGACAAATTATTATTCCTATTTTACATATAAGGAAGAAAAATGTAAAACGGAAACTCATTTTGTCTCTGAAATTTTGATTAACATATCAAATAGTCTTTTTCATTAATATTTTTAAAAGGTTATTTGAAAACAATTCAAAGCACATTACCTTAAATAAACAGTAAAATTTTTATGTAAAATAATTTTAGAATTATAAAAAGGACAAATGAATGAGCATCCAACTTGATTCAAATCTCAATAACAACCCTGCAACATATGAAGAAACATAATTTATCTTGACACAACATCATTATTTGTTAAGATAAATTAATAAACAGCACCTTTGGGTGCAACCAATCTGTTCAATTGCTGTCACCATTGATTAGACTATCTGTCTAAACTGTAATAAACTGTGAATGTATAAATGTATGATAGTGTCTTTTGTTTATTTAATGTGAAGCAATTACCACTTACTCATTCCACCAATCATGATTTTACATGAGTGATTCTGACTTGCTTACAGTGTTCAAATGAGCAAGACCATTAGTCACATTTTATTGTTGCCCAAAGCTATTATTTACTCTGAGTTAGAGATAATGTGATGACTTAAATAGGTAACATGCAGCCTAACTAATCAGGTTTGTTCAAGAGGTGTGTGATTAGTAACACCAGAAAGGGAAAAATAACACAAATTAAACAGCATTAATTGAATCTTACTGTATCATATATGCTAATTGTAACAACATTCATTTCAAATTCTCCATGATTGTTTTTCCTCTAAATATCATGTTTTTTATTTGTAAATATTTGATATAAGAATTTGTCTTCCACAAATCAGTTATTTTCAGGCCAAAAATGTTAACACTATCAATAAGTCTACCTTACAAATTATAAACATCTCTTTTATGTTCTAGTGTTTTGACTTCTTAAAATTCATTTTCTCATAGTTTTTAAAAATATTTTGTTAGCATTTCCTGGAGATTAGTTTTTATTTCTTTAAATAATTGTATTTATTATAACTCAATTTTCTCACATCTATTATTTATGAATAACTTTAGATTTCAAACTTGGATAATTTTTTTATGTTTTCAATTGCTCCCTTCATAAAACACTTGATATGGAAATTAATTTCTTTCATTTCATAACTGTAAGATTTTATATTTTTTATTTTATTTTTTTTTATTTTTTGACAGGCAGAGTGGACAGTGAGAGAGAGAGACAGAGAGAAAGGTCTTCCTTTGCTGTTGGTTCACCCTCCAATGGCCGCCGCAGCCGGTGCGCTGCGGCCAGCACACTGTGCTGATCCGAAGGCAGGAGCCAGGTGCTTCTCCTGGTCTCCCATGGGGTGCAGGGCCCAAGGACTTGGGCCATCCTCCACTGCACTCCCGGGCCACAGCAGAGAGCTGGCCTGGAAGAGGGGCAACCGGGACAGAATCCGGCACCCCGACCGGGACTAGAACCCGGTGTGCAGGCGCTGCAAGGCGGAGGATTAGCCTAGTGAGCCGCGGCACCGGCCAAGATTTTATATATTTTTATAATATAATTCTGAGAGTTATTAAGATAAAGAGGACAAGTGCTAAAGTGAGGTTTCATATCTTTCTTAGAGTAATTGTCATATTTTTCCAGTTGTACTTCCTACAGTATATTCAGAGAACTTGACATAACATGCTTTTAATCTTTTTTAATATAATGGACAAGCTAAAACATTTTTGAAGCATTAACATGCAAGTTATCAATATTTTAGCCATGTTACTATCAATGAGATATCATGACAATAGTGTTAAGAAATAGACTACATTGTAAACATTATATTGATCAAAAATAGGTTTATTTGGATTTGCCTCATATTAATAAAATTAAGCATAAAGATGCTGATATCGAAGAAGGTCTGAAATTATCTACAGAATACAAACTAGTAGTGAATGTGAGAAGATATTAATCAAAATTATCATATTTTGCTATTTCTTTTTCTGTCAGTTAGAGTATTTTGCTACTTATGATTTGATCACGTTACTCTTAGGAATGAAAATTCAGAAATATTTAAAAAAATTTTTTCAAGATTCTTGTGATATTATTAATGTTAATTCATAGGGAAACTTTAGTATTTATTTGCAGAGAACATTCTGTGTTAAATAAAACTTTCAGTATGTGAGTGTGTTGTGTGTAAGTAGGAGCAAAAATGAATACCAAAATGAAATATAATATGAGTGAGTTCTGCAGATAGGTTTGTTAGAATGTATTTGAACTGGATTTTTTTACTGTGTTAAATGAAAATATGCTTTCAGTAATCTTTGTTGCCTTAATTTGATGACTTTTGAATATGAAAATACTGCAGCGACACAGATTTGATTGATTTCCTTTAAATTATTAACAGTAACAGATTCTTAAAATAATGTTACACTTTAAAAATATGTATCATCGGCCGGCGCCATGGCTCACTAGGCTAATCCTCTGCCTTGTGGCGCCGGCACACCCGGTTCTAGTCCCGGTCGGGGTGCTGGATTCTGTCCTGGTTGCCCCTCTTCCAGGCCAGCTCTCTGCTGTGGCCAGGGAGTGCAATGGAGGATGGCCCAAGTGCTTGGGCCCTGCACCCCATGGGAGACCAGGAGAAGTACCTGGCTCCTGCCATCAGATCAGCACGGTGCGCTGGCCGCAGCGCACCAGCCGCGGTGGCCATTGGAGGGTGAACCAACAGCAAAGGAAGACCTTTCTCTCTGTCTCTCTCTCTCACTGTCCACTCTGCCTGTCAAAAAATAAAATAAAATAAATAAAAAAATAAAAATAAATAAAAATATGTATCATCTATCTATCTATCTATCCATCATCTATCTATCTATATTTTTTGAAAGATAGAGGGGCCATCGTTTTGGTGCAGTGGTTCAGCCACCGCCTGCAAATTGACATCTCATATGGGTGCTGTTTTGAGTCCTGATTACTCTACTTCTGATCCAGGGCTCCCTGCTAATGCCCCTAGGAAAGCAGTGGAAAATGGACAAGTGATTTGGCCACTGCACCCATGTGGGAGTCCTGGATGAAGCTCTGGCTCCCAGATTCAGCCTGACACAGCCCTGGCCATTGCAGCCATTTGGGAAGTGAACCAGCAGATGGAAGATCTCTCTCTCTCTTTTGTTTCTCTCTCTCATTCTCTGTTTCTCCTTTCTCTATAATTATTTCAAATAAGTAAATCTCAAAAACAAACAAACAAACAAACAAAAAAAACAGGAGAGAGCACGCTCACTTTCACTGACTCAACTCCCGAATGTTCACAACAGCCAGGGCAGGGTCAAGTTGAACCAGGAGCCTGGAACTCCATCTCAGCCTGTACATGGGTGGCAGGGACACAAACATTTGAACTTTCATCTGGTGCCTCCTAGAGCACTCATAGCTGGTAGTTGGAACCAAACTTAAGGACTCCACTATGGCATGCAGTTGCCCCAAGCCATGTCTTAACTGCTTCACTGAACAGCATCCCTTGTTTTTATACACCATTCAAATTGTTATGGTTTCACTGCACTATCATCTCTCTGAGTTCATATTTCTTTTATTTTCCAAACCAGCAAATAAATTGAATGCAAGTGCATGTACAGTAAGAATGTTATATATATTTGCAATTTTGAAATTAATCTAGAACATGAGTTATCCTGCAAATGGGAGATATGTTCTTTCAAGGAACAGAATCAGATTGCAATTGTACTACAATTCATTTTCCACCAACATTTTAAAATACCACCTAAAACATGTTAACAGATATATTTCTTTTTTTTAATTATTTGACAGACAGTGAGAGAGAGACAGAAACATATATTTCAGAATAAGTATTTTATATTCTTTTACGTGTGCTTCAGTGTTATAGTCTATTTTAAAAACAAAAGAAAGAAGTGAATTAAGAGAAGCATGGTATTAGACAATGTTTACAAGAAACTGCACTATGAGAGAAATTCAAGTAAACATTCATTAGGCTCTCACAAAAGCAAACAAAAAAGACGATGGAATTACAGAAGGCCCACACTTGCAATGCCTTTATAATGCCTTATTTTCTGATCTTAAGGCGATCACTTCTCTAAAATTCACTATAGTGAACATTATGTTCTTCAGAGAACGACTAAGAAAATCATTCAAATATTGAGACTGAGAACTCAGGCTTTTTGTAAAAATGCATCCTTGTGTACCATGACTTCACTACCAAAGACTTGACAATAGTCAATGCAGGGACACCTGCATCGCCTTGGTTCCATCGTCCTCCATTACCCCTCCCCCCCCCAATATGTGCAGCAGTTATAATAAGCCCCTTTTTGTTTTAGTGTTTTTTTTTGTTTGTTTGTTTTTGTTTTTTTTTTTTTTGTTTGTTTTTTTGACAGGCAGAGTAGACAGTGAGAGAGAGAGACAGGGAGAAAGGTCTTCCTTTGCCATTGGTTCACCCTCCAATGGCAGCCGCGGCCAGCGCGCTGCGGCCGGCGCACCCTGCTTATCCGAAGCCAGGAGCCAGGTACTTCTCCTGGCGCCAGCTCCTAATAAGCCCTTATAATAAGCCTAATAAGCCCTGCATGGTCCTACTGAGGTACTTACTGCTGTGATTGAAAAGGGCTCCACTTCATCCTCAGCACTCAGTACCTTGCCACATCAAGATCATTAAGTAAAATTCCAACATGATAAACAGTCCTGTTTACATTAGTCATCACAAGAAATTCAGGACACAGTCATCCCATTGTCAGATATCTCATCCGCACACAGCTCTGTGAATTGTCTATTCTGATCAAATCACATACCTCACTCTGTCATGGAGACACAGTGAACTGTTGTCTTGATTGTACAGTTCATTATTAAAATATTCTATTTCTAGTTTTTCTGAATTTCTCATTCTCCTCCTTACCCTGTTTAAAATGTAACGTACTGGGCCGGCGCCGCGGCTCACTAGGCTAATCCTCCGCCTTGCGGCGCCGGCACACCGGGTTCTAGTCCCGGTCGGGGTGCCGGATTCTGTCCCGGTTGCCCCTCTTCCAGGCCAGCTCTCTGCTGTGGCCAGGGAGTGCAGTGGAGGATGGCCCAAGTGCTTGGGCCCTGCACCCCATGGGAGACCAGGAGAAGTACCTGGCTCCTGCCATCGGATCAGCGTGGTGCGCCGGCCGCTGCGGCCATTGGAGGGTGAACCAACGGCAAAGGAAGATCTTTCTCCCTGTCTCTCTCTCTCACTGTCCACTCTGCCTGTCAAAAATAAATAAATAAATAAATAAAATGTAACGTACTCTGTAAACATTTTTCACATGGTTTCCACTTCTGTATCTTATAACAGAGGATAGACATGAGCTTGTTGTTTTCAGCTGACCTCCAGAGTACTGATTGCTGTCTTATATCAGCTTTGACTTCCTTCTTTGTTTATGGTCTCTTCTCGGGAATTTCATCCATCAAATAGCTTCCAAAGCAAAACTGAACACTTCTATTTATTTTTACGTCCAGCCCGAAGATTCCCTTGAACTTGAACTACTTATACTCACCTTCTTCTCAATAATTTTGTCTAAAGAATTTTCTGCCTGCAAAATACTGATTTCTCTTAACCTTAATTTATTTATTCTTCAATATCCCCCATTTAATTTTATCACTTACTTCAACTTTGCTTACAACATTCACCAAATTTCTTTTTCTGTCACATTGCACATGTAGTCCATCAGCAAATCATTTTCTTTGCTAATGTTTAAATATCTATCTATATTATATACAGATTGAATATATGAATAGATATAATCTCTTCTTTAGAGTGTTATTAAGAAAGAATGGCCGGCGCCGCGGCTCATTAGGCTAATCCTCTGCCTGCGGCGCCAGCACTCCCGGTTCTAGTCCCGGCTGGGGTGCTGGATTCTGTCCCGGTTGCTCTTCTTCCAGTCCAGCTCTCTGCTGTGGCCCGGGAAGGCAGTGGAGGATGGCCCAAGTGCTTGGGCCCTGCACCCACATGGGAGACCAGGAGGAAGCACCTGGTTCCTGGCTTCGGATTGGTGCAGTGCACCAGCCTTAGCAGCCATTTGGGGGATAAACCAAAGGAAGTAAGACCTCTCTGTCTCTCTCTCTCTGTCTACCTCTGCCGGTCCAAGAAAGGAAGGAAGGAAGGAAGGAAGGAAGGAAGGAAGGAAGGAAGGAAGGAAGGAAGAATTTTAGGAGACCAGGTGCAGGTGTATGGGATAGCAGATAAAACACTTTTTAGAAGTACCTGCATCTCATATTAAAGTGCTTGAATTTGATACCTGGCTCCATTCCATATTCCATCTTCTTCATAACTCAGATGCTAAGAAGCAATAGTTGATAAATCAAGTAATTGAGTCCCTGTCAGTCTCATGGATTGAATTACTGTCTCTTAGGTTCAGCCAGACACAGCCCCAGTGTGACATGCACTAGTAGAAAGAACCAAAAAATAGTGTTCTCTGTCCACATCTGGCTCCCTGTCTCTGCCACACTGTCTCTAAGTCTTTCAAATGAAAATAAACAAATACTTGGAAAATAAAAGAATATGTTGAACAAAGAATCTCTAATGCATCAGTTTTGTAATGAAGTTTTCATTGTATATATAATTAGGATTAAGAGTGCAATAATTTTATCTGAAGTGTTATTAATTGCATAAAATATACTGAACTTAAAGTAGCAAAGAATTAAAGCAAAGTATATTAAAAATATCCCCACTTGAACAATAATAGATTGCTTTAAAATCTAGTTTAATAATTCTATAATTTTTACAATTAATGTTTTGTTTCATGACATTAAATCACTTTCTTTAGTGATATCAAATGAATGTGTAACAGAACGAAATTTGCACTGATAGTCTGAAAATGAGAACATTTAATTCCAAGATTTTCCTATAAATAATGTGTATAAATGAAGTTCTCCTGCTCTTCTACTTCCAGTGTTTTTAGCTGGGAAATTATTGGCATATGGGACATGAAATATGTTTACTGTCAAGTTTATTGACTGGATACTTAGTCACCTTGACCCTCAGAGAACCTCCATTAGTATTACTGCCACTTTGATATTCAAAAGTATGCCTGAATATTTACAGATGATATCATAGAAAGCTACTATTGTTTGGCTTACACATAAAATAGACAAAGTTTCTATTTATTAATATGATAATGACTGATTCCTACAAGAGTATTATAGGCTAATGTAAGGGAAAGTAATGGGTTCATTATTAAGGTCTATGAAAATATACAGCAGAGAAAAAATATTGACTAGGATAACTTGGATCCTTCTTCCTCCATGAACACAAACAGAAAAAAAGAGACTGTTAAGACATATGCAAAGTTAAATTAAAATTTTTTGCACCTGAGAGAATCATGAAATCCAGCAGGAAGTTCTGGACACCGTGTATTGTTTTGTTGGCATTCTTCCCACCCCTGGTGTAATGCTGAAATTTGGGAAGAAACCTTCAAAGCCAACTATCTCCTTAGGAATGTAACTGAATAGAAAGTACACCTTAATATTGGCTATTCAAGCAACTGGTGTCTGTTGCCTTTTTTTCCACATTCTGAAAGAAATGGGGTATTATGGTAGGGATCTCTGAGAACAAAGAAATCAGCATTGCATGTGAGTGAAGATATCAGAATACCAAGTAGAGATCTAGGGTCATGATATAATACAGCAGTTTTTCCAAATATTTTATCCTATTTGGTGCTATAGGAAATGTTGTGGTTTCCTTACTAACCTTTTTAGCTTGGTCATTGTTAGCACATTGAAATGAAAGTTTGCATGCTGTGTCTTTTATATTATTTGTTAGTTCAGATTTTGTGAAAGCTTTGAAAATGTCTTTATATATGATCACTTCATTTTCAAAGATAATTGAAATGATTGAAATGATAAAACTTTAACCAAGAAGGTAAAGGATGTGACATTTAAAAATATAAAGCATTGCTAAAAGAAATCAAAGATGCTACAGATAAGTAAAAGATATAATGGGCTATATGTTTGAAAAAAACACTTTTTTAAATTGTTTATTTTATTTATTTGAAAGTGTGACACGGAGAAAATGCAGATACAGAGAGAGAAAGAAACCTTCCAATACACTGGTTCACTCCCCAAATGGCTGTCACAACCCAGTCTGTGCCAGGTCAAACCAGGAGTCTAGAACTCTATCCATATATCCCATGTGAGTGCCAGGGAGCCAAATGCTTGCTTCATCTTCTGCTATCTTCCCAGGCACATGAGCAAAGACCTAAATTCAAAGTGAAGCAGCTGGTACACCAGTATGGAGATTTAGTATAATAGGTGGTGGATTAGCTCTGCCAAAACAGTGGCCCCTAAAAACCAGTATTAGAAAATCCATGTGTTCCAATGGGGACAGATTCACACTAGATCTTAGCCAAAGGTTGAGAAGTAATAGATCTACAGAGTTAAATGCTGTCACTATCAAAAACACAATATTTTTTCAAGATACAGAAAAATTTGAAAATTCTTATACAGTTTCAAAGGAACAAAATATCCAAGAAAATTTTGGGAAAATAGTGGGAGGATTCACATTCCTTGGCTTTGAAATATATTACAAAACAACAGTAATTAAGATGATATGTTACTGGTATAAAGATAGAAAATTTGACCAATAGAATTTCATAGCCCAGAATTACCATGTTACCAAACTCAAAGACATAATAAGAAAAATTTAGATCAATATCACTGATGCAAAATTTCATTTGCGACCAAATGATGCATGAGAATTGTACCACTGTTACATACTGAGGAAAAGATAATATCTTCAACAAATTATGTTGTGCAAACTTGATAATCACATTCCCAATAATTTATTTGGCCTTTACCTTACCCAGTGTTCAGAAATTAAATATAAAAATTGAAATTTTAAACTTCCAGAGGAAAATACAGAGGCCAAGCCTCAATATACTGAATTTGCTAATGATTCTTGGATATGATAAGAAAATTCAGAAAACAAATGAAAAATAAACCCAAGGGACTATACCACACTTTAAAACTTCTACATGTTGAATGAAACAATAGAATGAAAAGGCAGCTGATGGAATGGGGTGTGGAGGAGAATACGAGCCATGTATCTGGTAAGGGGTTTAAAACCATAGCATTTTAGGAACTGTTACAACAAGGGCAACAAATACCTGATTAAAAATGAGCAAGGAATTAAATAGACATTACTCAAAGAATATATATAAGTGTTGAGTAGGAACAAAAAAGATGAACAGCTTCAGTAATCATTTGGGAAATGCGAATTAATCAATTACAGTGAGAGATCACTTAGCACACTA